CATAGTGTTTGCAAATTACTGCAAATAATATTTTCCCACATAAAAACTGCCACAAGTGCCCCTATGGAAGAGCCTCCACTGCAATGAAGTACCATCATTCCTGGGTATAAAATCTCTGAGTTGCCTTTAAGGTTTATGCAAGATTTACTGTCACTGGACACAAAGCACATTAGATGGTTAGTTGGGGACAAACATGTTTGGTTTATGCTCTGCATTATGGTGTTTGTTTTCTTGTTTTAGGTGGACTGTTTTTGTTTTGTATTTTACACTTCAAAAAGGAAATCTGTATAAACGTTATGTTTTAAACATCAGGATTTCTGGAGCAGCTTTATATGTTTATTAATATTAACTTTGTTAGCAGGCTTTCTCTTTTTTATATGCTTTATGTATGCTTATTATGTATTATACAATGATGTCTCATGATGTCTATTCATCGGTCTTTTCAAGGCATGTTATTTATCTACATCCAAATTAAAAATGATTTGCTGACAACTGTATTAAACCAAAGTCCTAAGAAATCATAAGCCACAAGCCATTTCACTGACAAAACTGTCACCTAAATTAAACAAATTACACAATTCCCATCTATGCATCAAAACACAATCAAATAGCACACTGACCGCAGTCCACTCTTTCAAATACTTGTGTATGTTGTTAGACCCCAATCTATCTTTTGGCCTCCACATAGAAAAGCTTGCATCTAAACTTTATCCAAAACTAGGTGCTCTGTACAGAAACAAATCCTGCCTGAGCCCTACAGTAAAGGAAAAGATGGTACAGCAAATGCTGATGCCATTCATTGATTATGGGGATGTAGTATATGCGTCTGCATCGCAATCCCACATTAATAAACGTAATACATTGTATAACTCCTCCTGTCGCTTTGTGCTCCAATGTAATTAAAGGACCCACCATTGTGACATGCTAAAAGAACTAAACTGGCTGTCGCTGGAATCCAGACGCACCCTTCATCTTTCCAGCCTTGTGTTTAAGAGCTTTTCTGGGAAGCTCCCACCCTACCTGAGCAGAATGCTCTCCCCCACTGTTCCCACCTCCTATAACCTCCAATCCAGTACCAGCACTTTATTTAGTCTACCTCGATACGAAGAAAACGGCTTAATCCTCCTTTTTCTACAGAGCACCGCAATTATGGAACGACCTCCCGCACACTTTCAAATCTTCCCCAAGCCTAAAGTCCTTTAAGAGATCCCTCTTTACAAACCTCAAAACATAATGCACCTGTCATGGTTGACTACCTGTTCTATGTTAAATTTTGTATATATTGTGTATTAATATTGTTTTTGTATTTTACTGTACCCTATTTTATGAATGCAATGTTTTGTGTACCCAGGAAATACTTGAAAAATGAGAGAAATCTAAATGTATCCTTCCTGGTAAAATATTTTTATAAATAAATAAATAAATTAGAGGCTCTTTATCCTCCGTTAATAATCAATGTACAGTATAGTGTAAGAGCAGTGGTTAGTTAACTCTCCTATTTACCATTCATTAACTGTAGATTCCTCTGTACAATGACTTGATTAATAGGATGTATTACTGCTTTTTGACCACTGGGTGACATATTTGTATGCTGCATTTCAACATGTAGATGCATTTATTTACAACTATTGTAATTTTGTAAAAGTATAATGTACATATTAAGCCATAGGCAGAGCAATGTGCCTGTATACACTCAAGAGAGACCTGCTTCTTTCTAATACCTCAGAAAGAGGTACATTTTACTTGCCCAACACCTTTTTTACTGACATTAATACATTGTCACAATCATTCTTTGCTTCCAGAGCCTTCGTCAGAATTCCCATCCAACTGGACTCTCTATACCATTCCCACTGTGCGAATCATTGAGTTCTGCATTGTTATACTGTGCAGAAATCTGGGATATAGACATGTCAAAAGTAAGTATTCTGATATCCATAAAGTAACCATAATATCACTGTTATGTTTTAGAGCATTTACCAAAATATAAAACTGAATCCCGGAATCCGTCTCTGTATCAGTACAGATATATTTAGATAGACCCTGTGGATTTTAATGGCAGAAACTGTTTTATCATTAGAAGATTGCAATATTCTCCTTATACTGTTCTGGTGTCTGTGCATTATCCTATTGGTCATCTAGTCGATAAAAAGCCAAGTGATCTATTGAGAATCAATATTTCCCAGTGCCAATTTTATCAATATTTTCAATGCCCACACTGAAACAACACTGGTTCAAAAAGACCTTTAAAAAGCCATCTGCCTCAGTATATTCCTATGTAACGTAGTCATCAACTTTTTGGGTGTTTTAACATAATTTAGTATGGGTGGTTGGTGAAAAAACATTTTCAATTATTTGTTTTCCATTTACTAATTAGGTATTAAATGGAATTCAATTTCCAGTTCTTAATTCCATGCTGATTTCAATAACAACTCATGGTTTATCGAAAATTCCAATTACACCCAATAAAAACTCAATGAATGTTGTCGAAGAAATAAAAAAATACAAAAATTCTGACAGTATAGTATCTACATGTGGTGCATACATTGAGAGTCAGTTTTATAAGGTTACCATTTCTATAGACGATTTTACCAGTAGACATTCCAACTTCTGATAAAAAAGGAAAAGTATAACAATTAGACATAAATGTGAAATTAATATTTACTGAGATCATTTTAATAATCTGTCATTCTTTGCATTTTCAGACGACATTAAATCCATTTTCTAACTCTTGCATTGGAAGTGAATGGAGCTGCATGAATTTTTACAATGTCTTCTAATAGTGCTGCTGGACTAGAGCCAGATCGAAGCGTATTATGCCAACACAATGTGGATACGATGCTTCTGCTGACGACCTCCCCTTTGAACTCTCAATGTTTACCAAGACAGAATAAAATACAATACTGACTTTAATTAACAGGTAGGGGAGCAGCCATATTTT